GGGTGGTTGCCACTGTTATCGGGGAGGAGACTTCTCATTTCCCAATGCAGCACAACCTCACACGGGCGGAGGGCACATGATTTCTCTACTGCTCTTCTCGCTTTCATACCTCGGTTGTGTTTTCGTTCTAGAATAACATTTTCTAGACGTGAGAATTTAGTGAATACTGTTTTAATTCCCCTTGTTAACACTGGAGGTCGAAGTGAATGTTCTTGCATTACTCTGTAGAACTCTAGCAGTTAAATATATTTATGACAATTAGTTTGTCATTGGATTCTTATCTCTTCAAAAGGTGAGCGGAGTTTGATTTCGTATTTTCTTATATGTTTGCATGATTTGAATTTTTGAAAATATCACGTTTATGGAGTATTGTTATCTGTTTGTTATAAAAAAAGATTCAGATGAAAGTTAGAAAATAAATAGGATAAAGGTTCCTTAAGAAATTTGCTCCGTTATCAAATATATTTTTCATAAATTTACGCATAAGAAATTAAGTTATTGTGTATTGTATTCTTGTATGCGTTTTTTTTAAAAATTTACACTATCTCAAATAATGATGGAGGTTTACATTTGCTTTAACTGTGTATTAGATTTTGAAATTTACTTTCTCGAGCAAAAGGCTGGGATATCTTGTATGTTACTACTGCTTTGAAATATTATGTGAAATAAACACACATGTATATATATATATATATATATATATATATATATATATATATATATATATATATATATATATATATAGTGGAAAAATTTTATTTTTCTCTTCTTAATTTTAAAATATTTAATTGAATTAGTTTTGCTTTTACAAGACTTAAAAGGTGTTAAATTTGATTATATGGATAACAGTATTTGTACAGAAAAAAAATAATAATTACAAAAAAAAATATTTTATTACGAATCAAATTCAAATAAGTAATATCTTAATTGTATCGATATGTTATTTATGTACTTATATCAGTGGCGCACACAAGGGGGGTCCTGGGGTCCGGACCCCCAAGCCCTTGATTTTTTTCCGATTGATAATAATTCTAAGTATATAGTACGTAAAATTGAATTAATTACTTGTTATTAATGATTAATTTTATTAATTAATGCTAATTATTTATTCAAAAATTAGTTTTTTTCTGTGTTTTGTTCTCGAAAATCGACAAAATCAAAAGGAGCATCATACAAGAATGGTGAACTTTCGACCCCGGACTCCCCCTCCCATTGAAAAATTCCTGTGTGCGCTACTGATTTATATTAATACTTTTCAGTAAAATGGAAAGTATTAGAATATATTCATGCCTTGTATATATATATGTGTGTGTGTGTGTGTGTGTATTTGAGTTGAAATATTGTATTATAAATGAATAATAAACCTTGTGCTATAATTATTGGCTACGAATTTTAATAATAAAAGAAATATACGAGAATTCCGTAATGGATGCTTTTATTTGTTAACACGACTGAACAAAAAATTATACAAAAGGTCATATTTAATTTTTAAAAGGACATAACAAAACGAAAATTTTGAGAATGGCTTTTTAAAATTGTTTACAGTTGTATAATAAGAATCAAGTAAACGCTAATTATTGATATATTTTACTTCAACTAAATATATATCTTGTATCATGCATTGGAACATTTTGTGTGACATTAATATATTCACGCATAATTATACATATGCGATGCTTATGTTTTTGTTGAAGTGAGTGGAATTCTATCATTTTAACTTTCTAGTTTATCATTTAAATTATATCCTTTCCTCGAAATACATCATTTTCTTTATCTTAATATAACTGTTCATCTCTTCATCACTTTTCCTTTCATTACGATCTTAATCGTTTTTAAATTGATTAAAAATTGTATGAATAGAAGGAAAAAACTGCTAGTTCTACAAATGCACGAGGCAACATTTGATCAAACATTTTAAAAAACCCAGTGCGGAGAAATAGGTGAAAGGAATTCTGTAAATCCTTTTTCGCGGTGTTTAAACCTTTAAAAAGGAGAAAACAACTAATTCTATGGAGAAAAAGTGCTGGTAGAATAAAACCGGTTCTTTGTACGCCAGACTTTCCTTTAAGTTTGAAAAATAGTCTGAGAACTTGTCGTTTCTTGTGAATATTTAAAAAACATTTACTTTCCTTTTTACAAATATTTCGAGTTAGAAATGTTTACAAATATTTTTCTATTAATGATATACTGTATTCGTAGATGGAATTATTCAAAGAACAATTTTTTTAATAAAAATATTCATGTTAAAAGTACTTATTTAAGCTACTAAATTAAACAAAGGCACAAAACTATGGTTTTTGCATTTAAGCTTTAAAAGTTGTATCGTTATTATTAATTAGCTATTTATAGTATAATTTTAAGGTCACAATCTATTATTAAATACTTTCAATGAGTTATCTTAGAACTGTATTATTTTTGTTAGAAATCATAGTCCTTTTAAAATTGTTGATACTATTTTATTTCTTCCCAATAATTTATTACAATTAATTTTTTTTAAGATACTAATTTGTAACAAATGGTAGAATCATTTCATGTGTTATTATTATCGGTACAGAATAAAAATGGAATGCTTATCACAAAGTCATAGTATTTATAAATTTTTTTAAGAAATTGCGAATTTCAGGATGCTACTGAGATAAGAGGATTCTGATGATATTTTTTACTGCAAATAACATTGAAAATATTCATACTATAAAAATATATAACTTTTAAAATATCATATTTTTTTTTAAAAAAAGTGTTTAATTACCTAAAATTATTAAAAAAAATTCTAGGCGTACATTTCACTTTGTTTTTAGAACTCAAAGAAATAAATTCAATCTTTCAAAAAGAACAATACAATTGTTGGAAATTTTGTTGTTTGAGAGATACGAAAAAAGTTTCTTATGAAAATAATTTGTTTTCTTTAGTTTTTCTTCAAAATAATTTTTTCCGACTGCTGAATTGTTTATAGCTTAAAATACAATCAAATTTCAAAACTTTTTTTTTTTATATTTTAGATTTTTGTAGTCATAAGAAATTACGGTTTTTTTTAAATAAAAATTCTAGGTAACTTTTCGCTTATTGTTAATATTTTTAGAAATTATAATTAGACTAGCTGCATGGTCCGGCTTTGAACGGGCTTTCTCTTTCCCTCATGACGCCAGCAATTTTGGGTGTGTTTGTACGCGCGCAATGTGAGTGATTTCTAAAATTATTTCATTAAATTTCCCTTTTTCGAAATTTGTGTGTTCCACATATTTTCGATTTAAGACAGGTTTTTCCCCCTCCCTCTAGCCCGGCATAACACGGTTTTTTTAGTGTAAAATTACTGTTTCCTCTTCCCCTCCCCCTCGCAGATAAAATATAGCTTCAAATTTCGTTCTATGACTTTTAAAAAACAATATTGCATTAGTTAAAAAATTATTAATGTGAAGCAATAAAAAGAAAACGATTCTTTAGTTAGCTTAAAAATGTCTCTGAAATGTATTTTATCCAAAATAATAGACAATGTACTTTTTTAATTAACAAATAATTAATTTAGTAATGAATTAATAGAAATACTTTTAAAACACACACACACAGATATATATATATATATATATATATATATATATATATATATATATATATATATATATATATATATATATATATATATATATATACAGTATGGGGAAGCGTAGATATATATTTACATGTACTGAAAAAAAACATTCAAAAAGAAAAAAAAACTAAATGATAAAAACATTTTGATATTTTATTTTAATTTCATAGTTTTCCTTCCACTCTCATAGTTACAAATTTTGTCTAATGAATGCTTAAAATAGTGTAAATAATTTATATCAGGAAGTGTAATACATTAATATTACTTTTTGTTGTATTTATTTTATGTTAAAATCTCCCTTCGAAATCTAGTTTTATTATGAAATAAAAACAGTGATGACACTGATGAACGGAATCAATGTAAAGCGAAAGCGCACTGAGGGATGGCGTAGACAAAACAGAAGGGATATAAAAAAGATAGATGAATGCTGTCACGGGCTTTTTTGCAAATGGCAGAATATTTTCCTACTTTCTTGACAATTGTCGTTATATTTTGAAAACTTCTCACAATATCTTTATAAATTTTACCCTATGTGTTATTCTGATGTATAAGCTATATTACTGTAAAGTTTCATTAAAATCCATTCAGTTGTTTTTGCGTGAAAGACCCACAAACATACTCACAAACTTTCACATTTAAAATATATATTAGATATTTTTTATAAATACAAATGAAAAATTTTTTTAAATTAAAAAATTTAACTTTATGTTATTATACGTTATAATTTATCAGCTCTTAAATTATCACTCAAATACCATTAACTAACTCATTTTTCTTTCCGTATTTTTAAAATTCTGGCTACTTATGCATTGTTTGTACATTTTTACTATTAAATTATTGTTTATAATATAATTTTAAAGTTAAAAACCTATTACTTCTGAATATAATCCACAAATTGTATTATTTTTATTAAAAGGATAATTTTTAAAAATATTTTAAATTTAATTTTCTTTTTGTGTTATAGCAACTCATGTAAATAGTTTTATAAGATATTAATTTGTAACAAACAAAGGAGCGTATCGATATATGATCAAAAAGAATGTTTATCATACTGATTATTGCTAGTTTAATTTCTAACTGTTAACTTCAAAAGTATATTATTCTTTAATTGAATTTGAATCAAACATCGTGTATTGTTTAACTCTGTCATATGCAACATTACAATGATAGATTTTTTTTCTTATGCAGCAAAAATGTTGCAACAAATTTTTTGTACAATTTATATATATATAAAATAAATTGTGCAAAAAATTTGTTGCAACATTTTTGCTGAATAAGAAATATATATATATATCAAATTTTCAATCGTTAATAAAATACTTTTTATTCATTAATTAAAGTAAACAATGAACAAACAGTAGCGAACAAAATTAATAATCCAACAGCATATATAGAAAAGAAAACCGTTCTTTGTATCCCCTTAGCGTAATGGATAGTGCGTTGAACTCCTAATTCAAAAGTCGTGGCTTCGAATCCCACATAGGAGAGCCTAATTTCTGAGAATGTGATTTCGTTTTAACTAAACTATTTTATTAAAATAATTCAATTTAATTAATGAATAAATGGTAACAAACAAAAAAAATAGCTCAACACCATATATAGAAAAGAAAATGGAAAATTACGAGGAAAATCGTTTCCCATTTTGTCACTTAATATTGTGATTCGGCCATATGTATATACATATTTATATTAATTGTAACTATTTAATAAAAAGTAACTAAAATAAAATTTTTCTTTCGTGGCCTATGTAGGAATTGACTTAAATCTTTTTTTATGCTACTTGTGTGTGTTATGTTTCTCTTTAAATTTTTAATCCCTGCAATATAATTAATCAATAATTAAATGAAATTGTTTGTAAATTAGCCAATAATGAAATTGTTGGCGAAGATAACTTATTTATGTATTTTATTCATAAGTGATTCACAATTATTTTCAGACATTGAAACAGTCAAAGGTGAATTTTATGCTGAATCAAAATAAAATAAATTGGAAAAAATATGTATAAAAGCGAATCAAACGAACCCATGACTTAAAATGAAGAAATCCTCCACCATTGTCGTATTATGATAGCAATCAAATATTTTATGTTGTATTTAATTCATCGATAATTTATAAAGGTTTAGTGTAATTATTTAAAATAATTAGTAATAATTTTGTAGTTACTTAAACTTTTTTTTTATTGTGACTGGCTCAGTATTTAATTTCGAGCCTTAATTTTTCCTTTCTCAGGAGAACAAAGTTTTTCGTAATAATTTCGTTGATATATCCCCCTTTCTATAACTCTACAATATCTCTTGACTCATTTAATTATTAAAAGTTTCTTGGTGATAAAAGAAATTCCTAAGACTTATTTCGATGGAAGGAAAAATTTTCTATACTCATTTCTTAAATAATTAAAAAATAAATATTTTAAATGATTGTTTAATGTTTTTGCTTTCTATAAAACTATTTTATCCCTGTTGAATCAACGATAAATTTTTTAGTGTTATGTACGTTTCAGTATTCCAAAATTTCAAGAAAAAATTATTTGTATTCACAAGGTAAAACTGCTCTAAAAATTAAAAATTAATGCTAAATTAATATAAAATGCAACAATAAGAATTTAATCCTAAAGTTTTGTTGTATACAGTGACGGTGTATTGAATAAATAAACTGTTGCTCTTTGCTTAATGTGTATGGAATTAAAATGTAAATTATTTTATTATTTAAATTACTGTATTGAGTTATTAACAATACTAATTATTTTTATATCAAGAAAACATATTTTCGTATAATATTTCTTCAAAATATATTTTAAAAACGACATTATATTAAAAGATCACTATAAAATTCCCTGAAGATTTCTACGATAGATAGATCGAGAGACAAAAGAAGGTTGTTTTTAATAATTTTTACAATGCAAAAATGTTACATATAAAAAAAAACCTCGCACTTTTTATAAATTGGAAAATTTTAAAAACTGATTATTTATATTAGCTGTACGTAAATATTACATAAAGACCTAAAATATAATGTTGTTTGCCATAATTTCAATTTACATCGGAAGAATAATGTAAATCCATAATTTAAATTTGTTACCAATAATTGGTCAGCATTGTTGAAGTGAACTCAGAAATTGAAATGGACGAAACTTAAGAAAGCTATTATTTGAAATATATGCTAGTTGAATTACAATCACTTAAAAAAATTTTGAGAAATTTTTAAAAAATTTATGTCTTTCTAAGTAAAATTATTTAAATACGTAAAATAATATTTATCATTTACATAATAAATCTAAGATTCCTCAAAAAAAATTTGTTATATAGTTTTTCTTAAGATTATCGATTTTAAAATTTAGTTATTCATTTTCGGTATTTTTTCTTCTTGTAAATAAATAAAGTGCAATTTGTATTTGCAGTATTATTTAATTTTTATTAAAAATAGAAGATAAATATTGATAGCATATCTTTTTCCACATTTACAATCACAATATAATGCAGAATACTTTCTTTTTATTTATTGCTTGCGATTGATAATAAAAAGTTTCAAACAATGTATTCCACATCACTTTCCATTTAAAAACTAATTAATTAATTAATTAAACCTGATTATTCCTCTTCTATCAAGTTCTTAATTAACGTTGATGTAACTAAAGTAAAAATCGTTTGCTGTCTTAAAAAAATACTTTTGTCTTTTAATTGAATTAAAACAAAAAAATAACGAATTTTCAAATAATAAGGGGGTATTTCTTCCTTAAAATATTTCTTATACGCAAGCAGAACTCTCTGGGAAAATAAAATTTGTTTCCATTTATTCTCTATATATTTTTAATGTATTTCAATTCTAATGTGAAATTTTTCTCATTATTAATATACTTTGACGACAGTAATTAGTTTTTTAATAATGTGTAATGACGAATTTTGTCAAAAATAAATATAAAACTTATTCGTTCAGATTTTTGTGATAATTGATTGACATAAGTATTTTCAACCTGAACCAGAAAAATAGTGATAATTGTTGGTTTGGCATGGCTAGAGATGCCTACTCAAGTACTGATTTCATCATTTGACCGTGGTTTAGATTGCTTAGTAATTTAGATAAAGGGGCTGTGCTTATACTAAATGGGACTTTTAGAGTATCACGAGCATAAGCTCAATAGACACTATTGAATTATTAAAAAAATGAATCACCTCATAGAAGTACATTATCTTAAATTATATATAGATTTTTTAAACTTATTTTCAACAAAATCAATGCACGAAACATTTATCATTAAAAACATCCAACTTTATTGAATGGTACTAATAAATTTACTTCCATCTCTTGGAACTTGATTATATATATATAAAAAATAATAAGAATGCTTATTTTTCTCGAATTTGAACTTAGAAAAGGAATTTCATTTTCATTTTTTAATTAAATATTCCAAACAACTCCCACTCCTTTTGTTGAGTTTTTGCTCTCTATATAAATCAAAAATAAGAATAATCATGTGTATTGTCATTAAACATGACACCTTAAGAGCCTTTTTTAAGTTAATTATTTTTGTTTTGTTAATTACACGCATGCAATATCGCATACAATATTAATAATCGCTGAACTGTTTAACTGAATTATAAATTCACTTATTCCTTTATTTATTAAATTTACTATCGATTTTTAAACACTACCCAAACTTTTTTGTCTCATAGACAGACCCCTTGCCATATTTACCGGTTTGTGTGAGATAGTCCCCTACTTACTTAATATTGAATCTTTGCAAATTCATCAACTTAAATGTGTTTTTGATAGCTGGTATATAGAGCTATTTACTTTAAAAGATTTAAATTTTTAACTGTAATGGGAAAAACTTAATAAAACCAACACATCTTAATTTTAAACATTTATTAATTAAATTAAAAATTTAGTACCCCCTTGTTACATAAAATAACTGCGCAACAAACAAATGGTTTTAATGATAGAGATGAAATGGATACTCTTTTTAACAAAATTTCAACATTTGGCATCAATTTTGTTAGGTTGAATCCTACATCTCTTCAATTAGTAGCGTCCAATCTTTTTTTGTTTTTCCGTTGTTTTTTTTTATAAAGATTGGAAACCCCACGCTGACATTTCTTTTCACTAGGAAAATCAATTAAGATATTTCTCACAATACTCCATAATTCAAGATAGATATGTTTATCTTATATAAAATATTATTTAAGGAAATAAGTAACCACCCCCCTGTATATGTGGAATATTCATTCCATTAATTGAAAGTTAAAGTTACGATTTGGTTAAATGAAAGCAATGATCGTAGACCCCCTTTTACACTTCATGAGACTCCAATTCTTTTTCCTGTTGACGAAGACTCCTGGGGTCGATATAGACCCCTTTTGGAATCAGCGCACTATATTAACCACTGTTCCTTTTTATTTTATATTACATCTGATTATAAATAAATTATTACAAGACATTGCGTGGCCTAAATTAGGATATTTATTAAACTAAATTCGTTTTGTGCGTTGAGAATATATTTGCTAAATATCAAATAAAAAACATTAATTTAGAGCATTTGAAAAATGAAGAGAGATCTAGTATTAATTGCAACTTTACTAAAGCATATAAACTAGAACATTTCATTGCGTGATTCACTTCTGCTAAAATAAACCCATTTTTATTACCTGCAATATGCTTAACATTTCCTTTCTGATGCTGCAATGCTAGGTAAATGCTTATCATTACAAGCTACAAAGAAAAATGCACTTTTGTTGAATGCTTTATAAATTATAAATAAGCAGTATGATGTAGGATAAAACGGATGTACAAAAGAAAATCTCATGAAATTATATGAAATCTGAGACAATTTTCTTACTAAGAATGCTTTCATGTTTAGAATACTGCTTTTCAATATTTGGTGAAAATACATTCGAAATAGACTTGTTTCACCATTGACTAGATTAAAATGGAAAAGGAAAATTTCGTCCACACAATTTTTCATCCTTATCAGATTAACCAAACAGTATTTTTCGAATTCTTTCTTTCTCTCTTACCCCTCCCCCATATACAATATATGTATATCTCCTTTGAAATTCTTTTTCTTTACAATTTCTAGTCTATCCTCTGAAATGTTCTCTTATTAAAAAGAACCAAGGAATATTTTCAAAGGGTTTGATTCTATTTAACGCAAAACGATCCACTAGTTAGATGCTAATTAAATGTAGTATTATCTTCTTTTTTACATGAATACAAGTTAAAGCAATATTTGGTTTCAGGATTGTAGTAAAAAATATCTTTAAATCGATCAACCCACAGCGTATGATCCTTATTTGTAATGACGTAAAATTAGATAATTTCTTCAAATTTCCATCTTAAAGATATATTTAAAAAAATTTGTTGATCCACTGCGAAATTAAACTTTAAATAAAACATCAAGTAAGAAAACAAAAGAGAATAATAAACAAGTAAAAAAAAAACTTCAGTCAATTCCTACTTAGGTCAACAAAGAAAAATTTTATTTTAGTTACTT